ACCACCACTACCACCACCACCACCATCACCAGCACCAGCAGCAGCAGCAGCACCACCACCACCAGCAGCAGCAGCAGCAGCAGCAGCAGCAGGAGCAAGATACCTGCATCAGCAAAAGCAATTCTGGTAGCATCAGCAGAGAAGAGCTCAATGGAGTGCTGCAGAGTTAAAAAGTTTCCTTGGCTCTTGCTCATCTTCTCCGCGTCCACCAACACCATACCGTTGCATGCAAAAGATCTATTAAATAATAACAGCAGCAGCAGCAGCAGCAGCAGCAGCAGCAGCAGCAGCAGCAGCAGTAGTAGTAGTAGTAGTAGGGATAGATGTTGGAGGAGGAGGGGGAGGAGTAAGGGGAGAGATGCAACAGAAGCAGAAGCAGCAGCAGCAGCAGCAGCAGCAGCAGCAACAGCAGCAGCAGCAGCAGCAGCAACAGCAGCAACAGCAGCAGGTACAGTAACAGTAGAAGAAGCAACAACACTAACAGCAGAAGCACCAGCAACAGCAGCAGCACCACCACCACCAGCAACAACAGCAGCACCAGCAGCAGCAGCAGCACCACCACCACCACCAGCAACAACAACAGCAGCACCACCAGCACCAGCACCAGCACCACCAGCAGCACCAGCAGCATCAGCAGCAGCACCAGCAGCAGCATCAGCAGCAGCAGCAGCACCACCACCACCACCACCAGCAGCACCAGCAGCATCAGCAACAGCACCACCACCACCACCACCAGCACCAGCAGCATCAGCAGCAGCACCAGCATCAGCATCAGCATCAGCAGCAGCACCAGCAGCAGCAGCAGCAGGAGCAGCACATACCTCGGCCACATTTCTGGTTTATTTTTCCACACAGCTGCATGCGTATACAAACAAAAAGTTAAATGATTAAATATTAAATCCTTGCCGCTCACACGCAAGTCTAGAGGGTACCAGTAACGAAACTCAGAACGAAGAAGCTGCACACACACAAATACAAAAAAAAAAATATATATTTATTTATTTTTTTTTATTTTTTTATTTTTTTTTTTTTTTTTTT